TGAAATTGCCTCCTTGAGAGACTTAATCTGTCAAAGTTACACTGTTTTTTTTTTAAGCTTTCCATATCATCTTATATCTGATTTCGATTCTACATGCATCTTAATCACATTTGTTCCATTGCTGGAGGCCATCCGTTCATGCACTTCAGTGGTTCCTTTTTTTCTGAGAGACTATTTTATTGCTCTTGTAAATACAACTATGTTAATGTGTGTGTATTACATGTGTATATTAGATAGAAACCACAACCTGCCAAACATCCATGGATGAGCTGAGGAGCGTTTGAAGTGAAGAAGTGATGGATGAATTGGAAAGCAAGCCAGAGACAAAAACAAATTAAGGGTCAATTTAAAAAAAAAAAAAAAATTCAAGTGACAATTGGCAGCGAAAGGAAGTGAGGATAAACTGTGACAAGAAGAGCAGCAGGTAAGAAGTGCATTTGTTGAAGGAGGATCTATTTTCAAAAGCGTACTCAGAGAAAAACTTTGCTTCCTACCAAGAAAGAAATAGGTCATGCTGTCTAGTCGAAAACATCTTTAAATATTCGACTAGGAGCCTGCAAGCAAGACCTTCCTATCTGGAGAATCAGAATCTGTATCAAACGTTGCAAGATTGCAATCATCCATCCGTCTGGCCATGCATCCGGCAGGACAGTCATTCATCCATCCACACATCCGTCCATATTCTCTGTAGTTTTTACACCAAGTACCACCTAAAAGAAATACTTCTGCTCTGCAAGGACCACCATTTTGACCTACTTTTTACTGCAGTGGCGTACTAGGCCTAAGTGTCCATCAAAACGAGAAAGAGATTTTATTCCGAAAATGGGATATTATTGGAAGTCACTGTAACATTATGGACAGTTTGAACATTAACAGTGCAATCAAATAGAGAAAAAAAGAAAAGTATTTAAATAATGATCCAAATTCAATGCACATAAGTTCAATACAAATTGTAACTGAATAAATATTGAAAAACAAAACATTTAAAGACTAAATGCAACTTAAAACATGAACTACAACTTAAGTGTACTGTGTGTAGGCAGCATTTGTCCTCTGATGGGTTGAGGGTGAGATGAAGTCTATGACAGTTGACTTTAGGCAAGAACAGGGGATAAACAGAAGAAAAGCATTCAAACTCAGATTTCACACCTTGTGAGGTAGATTTGCTAATCATCTTTAGTTTTTTTCCCAGATTATAGCCATAAACTGTCATTTTTAACATACTAGATAATAAGCATGTGAACACCAATTACCGACCAGATTTAGGAAGAAAAGTATTGAGGGGGGAGGGGGATCTCTTCATCAATTAATTACCAGTCAGGCATTGGACAAAATCCCTTAATCCCCGTTGAATCTCAAATGTTCATTTTATCAAAGCATTTTGGCTGAATCTATTCCTTCCAATTTCGATTAGTTTGGCAAAAGCCCTTCGTGGTTCCATCTGCACATTCTACACAGGGAGGACTGCGAGGACGATTTTTGTGGGAAACAACTATGGCTGCAACTAATGATAATTTTGATTAGTGATTCATCTGTCGATAACTTGGGGGATTAATTGGATCAAAAACATTAATTTCCAATCCTTTATTTAAAAGCAAGGCATAATTTAAAATTGACAGAGAAGAAAATGGGCAAACATAACACAATACATTATGACTCAGTTATTGGTTCGGTCTACAAAATGTCAGAAAATACTGTAGGCAAAACATTTTGATCACTGTTTCCCAAGGTAAAAGCAGATAACATTGGAGAATATTTTTGAAAAATAAACACTCTGTTGCGTGAGATTTTTATGACGATTAAAACTAAATTTGGCACGCTGATTCCAAAATTGCAGTCAGATTTTTTTTTCCAGTACACATTCTTTTTTTTCTCTCCAGTTTTTATAGATGAGCCAAAAAGTCCACTGATTAACTGTATTTAGACATGCCAACTGATTACGAGTGGACTCATCTATAGCAGTATGATCAATGTCTGGAAACAGAAAACTAACATAGTCGGGATTAACAGGATTACTGCCGATTTTTCCCTTTACTTTGTAACCATGGTTTTATTTTGTTTTATGCTGTTTTGTAAATTGTCAAAGCTTGTAAACTTTCCATCTCAGTGTTTTATTTACACACAAACACATTTATTTCTTTTTTTTTTCTCCTTTAGGATTCTATAGCTCAAAAAATTCATATGATAGAGAAAAACTGATATCGGTTTTGGATTCCGTACCTGAAAATTAGTTAAAAACATCTATTAGATCTAATCACACAAAAATTGAGTTCCCGGATATTATCAGTCTGCTTTCATAGAGGCCAACAGACAATAAAAAAATATTAACTGTGTTGAGAAGCTGAAATGTGGATTTGGACAATTCAAAGTTCAGCAAGGTCTCTATATTATGATTATTCGATTGTGAAAACAGCAGCAGATGAATTTGATAATCAATTTGGTGTTGATTAATCGATCAATTGTGGCACCTCAAGATAAAACCTTATCAAACACAAGCTTGAACTCAAACAGATATAGTTGTCTGTTCTCGAAAATTCACATATAAAAGGCACACACACTCGACCGAGATGAAGCTATCTGTCTTTGGGACATGGGGCTGCATCACACTGTTTCCACATCGCCATTCTTCTTTACACTGCTGCCTGCTATTGTTACAATGAGTGATGACTGCATTCATTTTATTGAACCAGCTCTGCCCTTTCACAGGCGTTGCCTTGTTTACCCTCATGTTCTCTGGCACCTGAGACCTGCATCCTCACAAAACTCTTGGCACCTTGGAACATCATCACATTCACACCGAAAACAGACAAACTCTAAACTCAGACAGCAGAAGGCGCCTAATTGGAAACGTCAACATTCTCTGGGTCGCATGTGTTAAACTTCACGCAACTCAAGCGCGGCATAATCAAAAAGCGAATTATCTTAGCTTTCCAAAGATATGTAAACCACTGTGCTACGTTACTCATGACATCATTGTTACTCTTTACATTAACACCACAGATATGTAGAGGGAGATATGACACGCCCCCTTTGACTTGTGTGCCGATTATGCAATTGACCAATCAGAGGTCAGAATTTGGGGGTCATAAACTGTCATCGCTACAGTTACTTTGCTAGCGTTCATGGGGTGGTTTATTCTGCGAATTCTAATAACTTATAATGATTGATGATATAGAATTATGAAATGAGCATGAAATTAACAAAAATGAATCATTAATTGGGTCATGGGTGTGTTAGAGCCAATCACGATTGGCCGAGCGGGAGATGTGGGTACACACTGGACTGGTCACCAGCCAATCGTAGGTCACATGAGGAAAAATAACCCTTCACACTGAAATTCACACCGAAGAATAATTTCGATTCTTGAATAAAATCAAGCATGTATATTTTTGGGATGTCAGTAGAATTAATGCTAAGAACGAGGCTTAAGGGAATAGTCGTTGCCCTGTTCATTCATTAAGGTGCCAATCTGACTGGAGTGCCTTTTACGGCAACTGTAAGAGGCAAAAGCAGCTTATTGCTGGATCATAAAAGAGACTTGTGCTTCCATCAAGCATTACATGTTTTCAGTTTAAAAAAAAAAAAAAAAACTTTCTACAAACAGGTGCCAAAAATTAAATGTCTTGTTTTGGCCTGAAGGAAAGGGGCTAATTGTGTTCATGAATACCCATGATCACATGGTTGGGTCTGTTAGGGAAAGTTCATCAACACACCATTTTCTTCCCTCTCTGGGAAGGTGGAGCCAATCGCAACTGACTGCAAGGAAAAGGCAATTTACGATCTGGATTGGTCTGCCACATAAAGGGACAGAATTTCATTTGCACCTAAAGTAAGTGAGTGGGGAATCTATCCCACGCTGAGTGCACCAAAGTCAGCCATGTGCACAACTACATTGGTGAATTTGTCACTTAATTTCCGTTTGACAGTCAGAATGGGAGAAACACAAAATGTAACTCTTCGCACACAAAGATTGCTTTCTTGTAACAGCAACCAACCAAAATAAAGAAATGAAGACAAAATACTGGCTAACCTACAATGACGGCTGTCGACACGACACACTCAGAAAAAAAAAAACTGTTTTAGTTGCATTGGCCTGTCACTGAGGTGGAAGCCTTTAAAGCAGTACAAGCATGCACATTTGATGGCCATGAAAAAGGTGCAGACATTTTCTCTGATGTCCAACAAATCAGTGTGTATTTTCTGCCACTGTGCCACACTATTTACACAGCTGATGTCGCTAGAAAAAGTAATTAAAAAAAGCAAGCTGAGAACCAAAAGTCTGAAAACAACAAAACAAAAAACCATGGGGGGTGACGACGCTAGCTGACTGCACAAAGGTGGCTTCAGGTATTATTAGCTCCAAAAGGAAATGAAAATGTTAATTTTATGGCGCATGCTACTTCGAGAAGCCTGAATGAAATCATAGCAATTAATATTTCAAGGCTTTTTATCCTAAAGTCTCCTGATCGCATCCAAGTAAGTGAGCTCAGTGGCCCCACCCAGCAATGATGGGGTAGTAAAGTGTGCTTCGCACTACAGTCCATTACTGAAATCACATTAGTGTCAGGCAGAAGCATAAGAGGTGGACAAATATCCACAGTCAACTGCCTTACATCACCAAGTAAAAACACATGACAACACCAGGTCCTCCAGGCTAATTATATGTTGACATTTTATATAATGCAGGTCTTGTTTAGACACAAATGCAAGATGCGAGCATCTCATATTCACTTGATGAGGTCTGTGAGCGTCAATACAGGCCTTGTGTTGTTGACAACTCACTCGGTTACCTCTGACACTCCCCCTAATGCACAATCAAACACTCATCAACACAGTAGTTGTTTTCTGTGTAAAGAAGCTTCTCCACATATGGTAAATAATATTGCAACATCTGGGAGGCGGTGGAGGTGAGCTGCGTAGATGTGAGAAGACACGGCAACGCCTATCACTGCTGCCAACTCAGCATCACTGAGCGGTCCCACGGACCGGATGACACCCACCTGCCGTATTCGGCTCTGGTGCAGCGGCGGCGGCTGTCCACCTTCCGGGGACGTGTTGTTCGAAGAGGCTAGTTTAAGGTCGGAGCCGCCGCCCCTGGAGAGAGTGTCTTCAGGGCTGCTGGACATTCTGTCTGGCTGCAGCTGGTAGCGACGCGGTCAAAAGTCGAGGAATGGCGCGGGGGGGTCCTTTAGCCGGTCCAAGATGGATGTTAGTGGGATGGCCTCAGAATCCACTCGGCTCGGGGGTGTTCATCCCGTGGCGATGTGAGTAGTCTGTGACGATGGAGGGCAAACGCAAGTGTTGTTTTAAAAGGCAAACCAGTGCTTCCTGTGTTCATGGGATGCTGCTCTGCCTCTTGAGCGCGTGTGGCGAGAACGCGCCTCTGACGCGCTTCCCCGAAACGCTGCAGAATCGATGCTGCATTCAAGGTCAACCGGGAACTCCGGAAACAAGCAAAAACAACTGTAACAATTTAAAACAACATGTATCGCTCTCAAAATGCATCTGTTCTTTTTCTCTTTCCTAAAAACTACATAACGTTATTATAGCAGAAAGCAATCAGATTTATTTACTAAATGTATGGCGGGGTTACACGATACTTTTAAAATAGGAGCTTGTGTAATTTACCTATTGCCGATGGATTTAAACGCAACGACGTGCAGGACCCATGGCATTCTTATTCTGCTGAAGGTGCCTCCACCCCTCGTATATTCCACTGCAGTGTCCATGGAAGGAAAAGTTCATTTGTCGTTTAGTGTCTTTAAAAGCCTTTCAAAATCATTTTTACTGAAGAGAGATTCATAGGTGGTAAGTACAACTGAGTTTGACAAGCTATAAAAGCTCACTATGTCCTTACGCTCCCACCTTGGCCTGGGTCCCTACGGAGAGCAACAGATTTAATGAAGGCGAACAGGAAATAATACTAAATCAGTCTTGGGCAGTAGAGCAGGTGTTCTGACAAACTGTTGTTTTAAAAAAAAACTCAAAATGGCAAATGATCGTTTTAAATAGTTTGGATCCATCTGTGTAGGTCTGCATATGGCGTTGAACTGTAATTAATTCTAACTTCAGTTGCAGACGTGTTTTGTGGAGAGTCATTCACTTACCTTTATAACTGTGTGACACTGCCCCCTGACTATTCCACATGGGATCACAATCATTCATACGAATGACAACGTCTTCAAATTATGCAACGCATGTGCGCTATAAAATGATGTCACTCTACAAAGGAAACGTCGATATATTGCAATGATCATATGACATACATTTATAACACATTATCAAGAAACAAAGGCAGGACTGATGTTAAAAATATAAAAAAATACTTTATTTTACATTGGAAAAAAAAATGAACAAACGATTAATAACAGCAGCACCAATACAACCAGGGTTGACGAACGTTGACACACATGGGATCACATGGAGGGGAAATATTATCAACTGAAATTGTGATGTGCTCATGACAGATTTAGCAAGATGAGAGCTGGTCCAGGTTGTCATGGCTACGGCTGGTGAGGTGGGCCTCCAGAATCTCTATGAACAAATTCCTTTTTAGTAAATTGTAGGCCATGGGTAGGAGTTGCTTGACAACCTTGTGGAAGTACTATTGGAGAAAGAGGAGACAATTAAGACATATGTTTGACCAGAATTTGTCACCATGTTGTCGTCATTAATCCTGAAGAACAAAACTCAACTCAAGCGAGGAACAATAAGCATGACCGGGGAGCAGATCTCAATCGTCGAGGTGCAAAGTTTTGAGAAGTTATGTAATTTTAAATTGTCCAAAGTCTCAAAAATATAAACCAGGTGTAGGTAACTCTGGTCTGAGAGAGTCGCTGTCCTGCCTGTTTTGAACATACTTGATTGAAATGATGATTAATAAGCTTCTACGGCAGCTCTCGAAGACCAGAGTTGCCTACCCCCGGTATATGTTGTCAAATTTATGTAGGCCTCCATGAAAGCAGACTGACTATCTGTGTCCAAAAAAACAAAAAGCAAGCATCAGCTTTACGTCTGAAAACATTTTTGTCCATTTTGTGACATATTCCGGATTTTATCAGTAACTTCATCATAATCAATTTATCCATCCATCTTATGTTTGTGCATTTTCTGCACTTTCAATGTGAAATAATGTCCTGTCTTAGAAACAGGACATTATCTCGAAAACAATTTTTTTAATCCGAATAATCGATTATTTCACAAAATAATCAAGAGATAAACCTATTATTAGAATAATCGTCTCCTAATGACATACTCATTGTATTCCACACTACTTACGTGGGATCCGAAACAGAAAAGGTCCACTCCGAGTTCATAGCCCATGCCGTAGTCACATTCATCGTTAGCAAACTGAACAAACGTGATCATCTCCTGAAGAGGTCGAAAGGCTTTGACGCGCTCTTCATCATTCCGAGCTTCTGCAATGGCTTTGCAGATCTTTTTCAGAGCAACTGGATGGAGAATAAAGAGAAGAAATAATAATTGATCAGAAGCAACAAATAAATCACGAATACCGAAGGACACCAGGATCCTCTCTGCTTACAGTTTCAAGAGTACAGTGGAGCCCGCATACTCTCAGTTTGTTAACCGCGCCTTCGCATATTAGTCATTTTTTTGTGGAAAATGCATACTGACTTTTATAACTGTTTTTGATGGATTAGTTTTTTTTTTCTCTTCAATGAGGGAAATTAATTTCATCTTGGGGTGAACAGTTATGAGCTTGGTCACGGAACAAATTGAACTCAAATTGAACTCAATTAAGGTGACACTGTATTGCTTATGTACACACACACACACACACACACACACACAAAATAAAAATACATATTGACTGACCATCAGTTTCTGGAAGTTCTCTGTATCCCACATCATTCTTGTCAACAGGTACAACAATACCAGCACCGTGGAAGGTTCTGGCGACAACCTAGGGAGGATTTAATATGTCATTTCGGCAGATCATAAAAGTATTATTTTGAGGGTGATACTCAGGGGTTGTTGCACTTTAATTTTATGTGATAATGTTCCCAATATCCCATGGAAAGACAGACATGGCTACACTTAACTTGCTTATGCTAAACATATACCCCACTAACAAGTGCGGATATCAGAAATGCATTTTGAAAAGCATAAAAAGAGGACATACAGTAAGCAGAGTAATCTTACGAGTGAGGTTACACTTCTAACTTTGGGGGAGCTACCTTCTTGTCCCGCTGCTTCATGCCTTTGGTCTTCTGCTCTAGAGATAAGTTTAGAGTCTCTGCTCGCTCACTCAGCTTTGCCTCCAGGCTTTTTAAATCTTCCTCGGTTTTCTGCCTGCCCTTCTCCTTCTTTTTCCTTAGCAGGAACAGGCTGTCAAGCAGTAAAACATATAGTAGTTCAATGAGTCACTTGACTTACACAAAGAATACAGATAGTATTTTTGTATTATTTTGTTGTGTTTGTTTGTTTGCATATTTATTCAGCACAGAAAAACAAACAAAAAACGTGCAAGGAGAAAACGAAGCTGAAAGGGCCTGCAAAGAATTCTCCTCCCTGCGGACAATCACCCTCAACCCTGATCAAATACATTTGTGATGAACTAGAACAGAGGTTGAGACAATGCGGACCCTCACCAATGTTCTTCCGACAAGCTTTTGTCGCACCATAAGTATATTTTTGCCATTTCCACAGCCTCTAGTTTCCTGAGCTGCTTACACTGTTTTCTACAAATTAATAACTTCATTTAATTGATTACAACTTATTGGATATGTCCCTAAAACGAGAAATGTGATTTGGTCCATCGAATGCAAGCATGGAATGAGCTCTGACAGTACTTACTGAACAGCAGCAAACACATTGTCTCCCATCGGTGTTATAGTGCAACCCTTCTTGGCTTCATTCTCCCCAACAAATGAGGGGAGGGAGTCTGGATTATCTCTGTTAAAAGTTTGAAGAAAAAACGACCAGTGACCAAAAAATAGTCTCTTCTGAAGACTTATAAAAAGAGAGAGATTGACAATGTAGTATTAGATGGTGTATGTTTTCGTACCTGTAGTAGCCGATATGATGCTGGCTTTCTTCACTACCCTGTAAAATGGTCTGGAACTCTGGTGGGTCGTAGAAATACCTCCAGTGAAGGTGGAAGTTAGGAGAAGCATTTTTGCAGTGTTGGTGAGCTCCAGCCAAGATGTCAAAAGGACCAACTAGCTGTAAACCAAGTGTGTCTTTCAGGGCACCTAGAAAACAATATTGTAAATAAGTGATCCATTAGTTGATATTCATACTGTAAAGATGATACACACACACACACACACACACACACACACACACACACAATGGTGAACAAATAACGATGGGCTCACCACAGGGGTTGTCTGGGCAAAGCTCCTTGCACAAATCCCAGAAATGGTACAGGTCATCAGGCATATGCAGTTTGTAGAGCTGCAGTATCTCGTCTCGTTGCTGTTGAGACACCTTGGACAGGGGCGCTGCCGTGACATCATCAGGACACAGTTTCTTCACCTCTACATTACCTTCTCCCGACTCCTGACAAAAACAGAAACATTGAGAAATTGTAATCAAGTGCATGCCAACATAACAACAGAAGAAAGAAGTGGTGCTCTTTAGTTTGTGTCTTCAATAGAGTTTGCTGTGAAGTTGTCTGCTGGAGTTTCGTCTTTGTTCTCATTCTCATGTTTTGGCAATTTACTAGTATGAAAGTAACTCTTCTTCGCAGCATATCTTGCAATCTTTGTATTTTGTATGTTACCTTGTTACAACCAAAAGCCGTTACAGTATTGGATGCAACAAATTTATGTTATCCAAATGGAGAGTTAATTTTTAGTTCTGGGACCTCTTCAACAAATATATTCCTCTTTTAATTACATTTTTTCAGGCACTGCCGTGTCAAGAGAAGCATGTTCTAGGACAAAGCAATACACTTCATGAGTGAAGAAAATACAGCAGAGAACTCCGTGGTTTCTCAAAACACCGTTGAATTTTGATGGCAATATACAGACTGGAACACATCCATCAAAATGTACATTAAAAAATCTTTTACAAAGCTCATGCTCGGTTGTTTACTCAATACATGGCTGTCGAAGTTCGCCAAAACGTCACGGCGGTCTTATTACAATTGAATGAAACGAATACTGTTTCACAGTTTAAGTTGTAAATAATAAACAATCAGAAAATGCTTTGCGGACCCTGGTGGCTCATCACTATGAAGAAATCATTGCAACTTTTTGCAAAGTGTATTTGATTAGTTTTGCACCTCAGCGGCGTACACAACATTTAGTAACTCATACCTACCATGCATTCTTGTTGAGCTACACCGTGCACGAGTCAGACAAGTCAACAATCACCGTGAAAAGGTGACGCCATATTTTTTCTATGTTTTTGCCCAAGCGTCCGCTCTGTGCGGTGCTGCTACTGCCATGTTGTTGCACCGCTGTCCAGACAGCATGCCAAAGAACCCGAACACGAAGCACTTTGCAACCTATTCGAAACGCCGTGTGAAACAACTCTAAAGCTTGAATATCACTTCTTGAATCGGTATCCGCGTGTACAAAGGAAGACGGTTGGGGTAGCGAGAATTTACCTGAATGGATTTGGGCTTTCTTTTTGCGCGCCCTGTCATTTTTTCCCCCCTGTCGCTGGAACGAGTTCTTCCTCGACGGAATATAATATGCTGCCACTTCGCCCAAGCAAAATGAACGACTGTCATCTAGAGGACAACGTGAGTTAATGAATACTGTATATATAAAACCAGTGCAACTACAGCACCCTACAGTTGTCATCACTTAGGTTATTTACATTTACAGGATTAAAAATATAAAATAATATTTTTATTTTGTATTTCATTTGTAAACTATTTACTGTTTAATAAACACAAGGACATGCTAACCAGTCAACCACCGTGCTACTGAGGAGTTCCATGTAAGCCTAAATAAAATGTGTACAGTATCTATAAGTACTAAGTACAGTATACAGTAAAATATGTATGTTGCAACTGCAATACATACAAACTATCATCAAAACAAGCAAAATAATACACAAATATAGATAACTTCTTTAAACTTAACGTCCTTAATCGTACCTAATATTGTGGCTCTTGACTTCACTAACTATTACTAACGTGTAGAAATGTCACTCTAACTTTTGATCTTGCTTGTATGACATAATTCACTGACACAGATACGGTATAGAAATACACAAGTCCGCCTGGTTCACAATACGGTCTCTCTAAAGGGGAGCAAGCGAGTAATGAAAACGGATCTGACTGCAGTTGGAAATAAATTGCTTACTTGTCACGATGAGGCAAAGGAACCTTCTGGATATTCGAAGAATGAAAAGTCAGTGAATCCCTGAGTCAAATGAGGTCATTTTTTAAAAAATCAGGATACGGATTTCTGGGCAATCAATTATTTTAAGGCGTCATACAAACAATGAATTCTAATTTCACGTGAAAAAAAAAAAAAATCCCGGATTTGAGCCTTGTTACGCACCATTGAGGGTCAACATGCTCCCCCTGCAGGCCTCTTCCCCCCTCATCAGCTGCAGTGGGAGGGCTCTGGAAGGCCATCGGCTTTGTGATTGGCTGCCGATAGAGGAGGCTGCCATGACACAGTGGATGCTGCACAGGATCACTTCAGCAGCATCATTGCACAGTGAATCCACATCCTCCTTGCTGTTCCCCTCTCGTGTTCATTTTCCTCCACCTTTTCCTCCCCTCTTCTCACCGCCACTCTTTCTCCCCCCCTGTCATCCTCTCTCAGGCACACTGCGGAGGACCTTCACACGGCGTCAGGAATATAGCAGCCACGGCAGCTGGTAGGTGTGCTGAGGCCTGTCTACCTTCGTGCCTCCCGTCCTCCTGCAGCGCAGGCAAGACAGCACGTTCTCCTTTGCTCTCCATCAAGGACTATCTATTTGACAAGTGTGTGTGAGGGAGAGTGTGGGCAGCGATCTGGAAAATACGTGGCGAAGGCTACCACACCCTTGTATTTACTGGCAGAGCATCATAGGCTGAATCCAGAAATTATTTGTATATTCTTGTTTACAGTGTCAACTACAGTATATGTACAAGATTCATATTTCAGATCTGGTGGAGCATCGTGTCATTTTCCCTCCATCACCCTTGCTGCTACTGTACATTCATTGTTAGAGCTTTTTCATATGTACAAGTGAACCTTCACTAACGGGTGTGTAACACTAAAGGTCAAAACTTTGGCATGCTGTGTTCATGCTTTGTCAGCCTGCCTTCTGACATGCCTATTCTTTATCTTCATCACCAGCAATCACATTCATTTGTCCACTCCCCTACCTGCCAATTTTTTCTCCTCGATCCTTTCTTCCACTGTTTTCCACATTCCGGCATCCTTAAACTTCACCCCTCAAGCTCATTATCCATCTCCATCTGCTCGCTACTACCTTTCCCATTTCCCCCTGGCCTGCTGGTTACCCAGGATGCCTTGTTCCAGGCCCCAACGCTAGGCCTTAGCAGCATGGGCGGAGCCTGGGTGGGAAGCGAGAGAACGGATCGGACCCTTCCCCTCAGGACGGGCACGCTGGCGGGTCACCCTCCTTCAGCTTCAGATGGGCGAGGACGCTGAGAGCCCCAAGATCAACCACACCTTCCTACGAGACTATGTCACTGAAGGTAGTAGAACAGATGGCATGTTATCTGCCTCTTGTGTCTCAATATTGTGTGGCCCAATGGGTGCAATCCATCTTTGCAGAAATAAATGAATCATAAATCCAGTAAGTTTTCTTCTGGCTAACCACTCCCATTTTATTCTGTTCCAAGCTGATGTCATCTCCACGGTGGAGTTCAACCAGACAGGCGACCTACTGGCCACGGGGGATAAAGGAGGCCGAGTGGTCATCTTCCAAAGAGAAACAGAGGTCAGTGGCAGACAAAATTGTTCACAAAATATGTTTGAAGTAGATAACATTATTCTGGTCAGCACCTCCAAACCTCAGTAGAGTTAAATCAGGGTTTGATTCTTCCAACTCTTGGCCAGTCTAAAGGGGAGTCCGAGGAGGTGTTGGAGACTGGGGACTCGGGGGAGTATAATGTATACAGCACCTTCCAGAGCCACGAGCCAGACTTTGATTACCTGAAGAGTCTGGAGATTGAAGAGAAAATCAACAAGATTAAATGGCTGTCACAACAGAATGCTGCACATTTTCTCCTCTCCACCAACGGTGAGAAGATCTTATAAATTGTAATGGCAACACAGATCAACTTATCATTTGTTCCAAAACCTCACTTCTGAATTTAGATCTAAACATTCTAGTAGACAACAATGTAGATCAACAACATTGCTCTGATTGCTTTTCCTGGTCACATCCCTGTTTGGCCACGCGTTGGTATCGGCAAAATTGAGTCTATTGGAAAAACAAAAGCCACATGGATGTCATGCCCATGAGGCTGTTTGAAAATTGCCATTCAAAGTGGCCAGCTGGTCCCTAGAGAACCGGTAGAAATGGCAAGTCAGCCAGACATACAAAGGATATTACTCCCAAATAATAACTGTAAGCATCACAGTTTAATACAAACCGTATTTTGTGATTGATGTGATTGATCTTAGTTGGTAATGGGTGAGGTCATCGACAGAAAATAACTTTTATGGTAATTATGGCTTGACACCATCTGAAAACACACACTCTGCCTTCCATCAGATTGCACAGAAGTCATCCATGTACAACTGACAGCCTGTAGGGGCCATACTTGTATGTTATCTATCGAGCGATTGCTATGACATGTTGTGATGCGTCCTCAATTCATCTCTTTGGTGCTCCGCAAAATAAGGGCACTACATTCTGCTATTATTAATTCAAAAATGTCAGTATTACGATATAAGCCTTCAGTCTTCACCCAAAGTACTTTAAAACTTTCAACATCAGTAGCCAATCCCGCTGACTACTTTTCTATTTTATTTGTTTATATTTTCATTTTTCTCCTGGACTAACCTCAACTCCATATGGGGTTGTGAAAATGCGATTTGGCATTTCACAGATAAGACCATTAAACTGTGGAAGGTGAGTGAAAGAGACAAGAGACCAGAGGGATATAATTTGAAAGATGAGGAGGGCCGCCTCAAGGACATCTCCACCATCACCTCCCTGCAGGTGTGTGAATGCGCACACACACACACCCACACATTCCTTGGCTCAGATGCATTGTACTGTAACTCATTTTCATCCGTCTTGTAGGTGCCAGTACTGAAACCCACAGATCTGATGGTCGAGGTCCGCCCCAGACGAGTGTTCTCCAATGGTCATACCTATCATGTCAACTCCATTTCGGTCAACAGTGATGGGGAAACCTACCTGTCAGCTGATGACCTGCGTATCAATATGTGGCATCTGGGCATCACTGACCGCAGCTTCAGTATCCTTCCTGCTTGTTTTCCTCATCCATTTTCGTTCTCTGTGGGCTCATTCGCTGTTATTTACTGATTCCTTTTTTTTTTCACCAACTCAAATTGACGTTTGGATTTGATTGCACTATTCATTTGGTATCCATATAATTTCAGAGGGAAAAATGTCCTTTGAAGAACAGTCACATTTGACAAAGAAGCACATCATTCAGCATAGTTGGTGGAACACATGCATGTATCGACATGCACAGGGTTTCATCGCTAATGCTTCTTTGACATGACACACCTTCCAAAGTGCCACGTATGCATTTTTTTAGTTGCTTTAAATGCAAGTAGGTAAACTGAACAGTTGTCGTGTGGGGTAACACCCCTATTATATACAGTTCGTGCAATAAAAACACAATCCGTTTATTGTGATATGAATTCAGCATTTATATTTAAAATAGCCAGCATGTTTTGATTTATACTGACTACAGTATACATCAGATACACGCTGCAGTCTTTCATGGGGTGCCGTTGGTAATCGTAAGTTCCCATTAAAACATAAGCTGACCTAGAAAATCAGATTCTTCTTGTAGTGTGGAAGAAGGGTTTAAATAATTCACAGGGCAAGTATGCGCACTTCTGAACCACTCGGGGACACCACAAATAGAACAGCGAGACGAGCAGCGTGTGCATGCATGCTGGGGTTGGTTGAGGTGTATGTTTAGGTCCTGATTATGTGCTGAAGCGTGAGCTGGGCTATTGAAATAAGTGATGTGCGTGTTGGATAAATATGCTGGCTATATACAAGGGTACTTACTACTTTCTATCCACAACATCAGGTACACCCGCCCAAACCAAAGAGATTCAATTAACCCTTTCAGGGACAGCGGTTACTACAGTGGACAGCTTATCATGTTATCAGGTTCCAGGGTGCATGAAAGGGTTAAAACATCATCACACATCTCGTTGTACGTATTTTTATATGAGAAAAATCTCGTGGCACACTACCAAAACAGAAATGTCAGGAAAAGTATCCAGGATGTGCTGAAATAATAATGAGCTTTGACAACATTTCACAACTTTACTGTGTGTGCCTTGACTTATTCTGTTGTGCGAATGGCAACATGTGCAGACACAGGTTAATTATGCACCTTCTGCCATCTGATGGAAAACCATCGCATTGTACTTCCTGTCAACTGTAAGCCGCCATGGCATAGATAGATGGACTCAGATAAAGTCCCAGTACCGTATTTGTCGTGAATAAATAAGTGTGGGTCCAACTGAATGAAATTAGATCATTGCCCGTGGCCCATCTGATGATCTCTCATGACACACTCATGAATGAATTACCCTTGCCATGACCTTGACATCTTCTGGATTTTTTTCATGCATTCCAATATACAAGTAAAACACATGTTATCTTTGTACATTTAACATTTCATTGGATCTCAAGAGTATTTTTCAGGAGTACATCATTTCGGTGGTGGCATGAGCATTGTCATGTATGACCCCTGACAGAGCATTTTGCTAGACATCGTGGACATAAAGCCAGCCAACATGGAGGATCTCACAGAGGTGATAACGGCAGCAGAGTTCCACCCTCAACACTGTCACCTGTTTGTGTACAGCAGTAGCAAGGGCACCCTGCGCCTCTGTGACATGAGGTCTTCAGCGCTTTGTGACAAACACACGAAATGTAAGACACCTACCTTCTTAAAAAAAACAAAACAAAAACCGGATCACGTGTTTTGAACAGTAGAAAAAGTGTGATCACTCGATTTTGTCTCCCATAAATATCAAATTGTCCAGTGTTTGAAGAACCGGAAGATCCAGGGAGCCGCTCCTTCTTTTCCGAAATCATCTCCTCTGTGTCAGATGTCAAGTTCAGCCACAATGGACGCTACCTGCTGACCAGAGACTACCTCACCGCCAAGGTGTGGGACTTGAACATGGACAAAGGCCCTGTGGAGACATATCAGGTAAGAAAGTGTTATTTTGGGTGTCATGGTAAAGAGTGAAGGCAAAGGTGAAATGCAAGATAGAATTGTGACTAAACTCTGGTATGGAAGAGAAATGTCGGCTTCTTGCTTTTCTCTGTATGCAGGTCCACGAATACTTAAGGAGTAAGCTGTGCTCACTCTATGAGAACGACTGCATCTTTGACAAGTTTGAGTGTGTTTGGAACAGTTCAGACAGGTGAGTGTGATCGACAACAACAAAACGTTGAGTGTCTTTTTTCATTCCCTCAAAGGAATCGATTACATAAGCTGAATCATTTTCATCTTTTTTTCCCCCCATGACAAGAAATGGTACAAAGTCAGTCATGTTCAACATTGCCAAATACTGTACATGGTCGCCAGGAATATGTCACAAAAGCAGTGATTTATCCTCGTTGGAAACTTTTGAGCCAAGGTTGCCTTGCCTCAATTCAAGTTTACATGCGAAGAATGTGAGAGAGCTACATGCAGGATTCACTGTATGTGATTAGTCACAAATTCGTATCAGAGCTTTTAATTGGCCGAAAGATAAGCTAGGGACGAACAATTTGTTTAGTATGTTTTTTTTTTTTAATTGATGCGCTGGTCTGTCCGATGCTAGCGTCTGATTAGAGACCTTCTCTGTCAAAATTTGGTAAATTCTTTTCCACCAATTGATATAATTGGTTAGCCCCCACATGGGTACTTTTTAAAATAAATTATCGGTATTTAACAATATAAAGTGTTAAAAATGTACCTGACACTATCGATACAAAGGTATGCCCTACTTTAATAATGATACAGCATCATCATTTACTCCACATTATTTATAATTTACAGCTCCCTAGCATTTAGATACGACGTGAGTTGAGGTCTCGGGAGATAAAGTTCGCTAATATCTTGCAAGATGTACTGTAGTCTTGCAAAATATACAGAGATCTTGCTTGATGTCATGCATGACGGCTGCTCAAATGTCAAAGTTTAGATTAGTTTTCTGCCATGATTTCTTACAAATTAGTTCAACTGCTGCGGCATTAGCGCTTCCGGTTTAGGTCAATTCATGTCTTTGTCTTATATCTCTTATATCGGTTGTTGATCTAAGGGACAGTTTCACAAACAATCTTCTTTCCTTTCTATTGACAGCGTAATCATGACGGGGGCATACAACAGCTTCTTCCAGATGTTTGACAGGGAGACGGGAAGGGGTGTGACCCTTGAGGCCTGGCGGGAGAGCAGCAAGCCACGGGCTGTCTTACGTACCCGCCGGGTTTACACGGGAGGAAAACGTCGCCGCGGAGATGTAGGCGTCGATAGCTTGGACTTCAGCAAGAAGATCCTACACATGGCCTGGCATCCGTCAGAGAATATCATCGCTATAGCAGCAACCAACAACCTGTACATTTTCCAGGACCGGGTCAACCCGGAGGCAGAGTGACAGGGATGGGCAACGACGTGAATAACGGACAAACATTTTAGTTTGCATCAGTTGTCACAAATGCACAGTGAGAATGGAGGAATAAACAATGAACGATGACATTCATTTAATCCCCGATCAATTGTGTGTCTCCTGCCCATCCAGTACAATTTTTGGTAATCGAGGTGCAGGGACATCTCTCCATCTACAAGGACCACGAAATGTTGACTCCTCTCTGCTGTGCTCTACATGCGTTTGCCAAGACTGGACTAAGTCTGTGTTGGGTAGCAGCACAGCAAGATTGTTTGATACTTCGAAATGATGGCTAAAAGTGGTGTTGACGTGCCACAAGTATAACATCGTGGTAGTGGTGATCTTGTGGTGACCACAATAACCGGAATTTATTCATTTTTTTTTTTTTTTTTAAGTTTGGTGACAATTGCAGCAGAATCTCTCTTCTTGAAGAGCAGCGCTCTTAAACGAGATTGCAAGCAAAAAGTGACCCGTCATCTTGTCCGCCCGTGTTGCAATAATAGCAATTCAAAACACAATGCGGCAGTATTTCTGCTTTCAAATCATGAGTTCTTCTGCAGGTAACAAATGTATACACTTTTTACTGTATGCTGTAAATAGTGCGTGTTATTTTTTATGCCACTGCCACTTTTGTTTCTCAAGCGCTAAATGTACGAAATAGATTGTTAAATACAAGTGAACACGAACCTCGTTTATAGAAGCAACTCATTATTCCAGAAGAATACTTGATGCAATAGCTTTGATATGTGTTTTGCTGGTTAAACAAAGAAAGGGGTAGTATGTACAAATCACCATTTGAATTTATTGTACAGAATTGCTGTGCTGGGCTTGTGTTGAGTTTTAGATTGCTGCTATTTCAAAGTATTCGCCTTGTGGGGGTGGGGGTAGTTAGGCAGACACCTCGTATTTAAGGTCAAACTTGCCCACGTTCAGGCCGATCAAATGAAAAATGGGCATAAGTTGCTTTTTGTAACAAATGTAGGTTCAAATGCGAATGTCAAGCGTACAATCATTGAAATAGAGGAATCTGAATAAATAAGCCCCAAGAGTCATGAGGGTTCATGTGCATGAAGGTGAAAGGTCATTATGAATGCCATAGCTCAAACATAAAACGTCATGGAAATGTATCACTGGAATGAAGGTTGTTTTCGTCGTCACACTTTTTACCTCACAGTGCCGCACGCTACGCTGGGGTGCACCGTTGAAAGCCACAATGTACAGTAAGGTGTTGTAATAAGGTGACGTGGACTGAACTGTGTGACCTGGTCACACATTGATTGTTTACAGTGAAGTGCTTTGTTTTTAAGTGACCTTGGTCCCACTGCAACTAATGTAAGTGGTTCGGGATGTGGGACGGTGTCAGTGCAGGGTTGGAATGGATCGTGTTTAATAATTGCTGCAAAATGGGAGTTCGTTGTGTGAAACCATGCAAAAAAACAAAACAAAAAAAAAAAACATCTTTTGAACGTGACATTTTCCTCACTCTTCACACAATTGTTCACACACATTTAAACGACAGTATCCTTACTGGTATCTGCGAAGTATCTCGGGTGTAGAACTTGTACTAAATGGTTTGGCAAAATATAATCCATCACCTAAAAGAAAATGGTTTATGTAATCGAAAACATTATATAAGTTTCAGGACTTAGCGCTCCAATGGTGAGTTGAAACCAGTGTCACTTGTGATTACATCATCATATACGACCCAAGAGAGGATTTGTGTTCAGGGGTGCAGCAGCAGCATGTTGCCACTACTCAATTGTATTATCTATAATGCTTACAAAAATGTTTAAAGATTGAAGACAAAAAAAATCTAATGTGAATGATGGAATGTGCATTAATAAAATGACTCACTCTGACTTCAGATAGTGGTACTCTTTCTACGTTTGTGATATATTGAATCGAGCTGCAGCTTTGCTCGTGTTGAGGAAAACTAGGACTTGGGTTGAGTTGGGTGTGAGAGGTTAACAGGATGTGAAACGAACATGACAGGTTGTGAATAGAAGAAATGAAAATAAATAAGAGACTTCACAGAGCTCAGTAATAGCCCGGTAAGAAATGGGGGCTGCGAGGGGATGAGTCAAGGGGTCACGGGTCACGGGGATGTGAACCGCAGTGAATTTTTTTGGCTGGTAAGTAGTAACTCAAAGTCTATAAGCACAAGCTGGTGTAACAATAGCTTGTGCTTGTCAAAACAACAACAAACATACAAATAGGGTTTCTTTTGAAAGCACTTTTATAGTAATTGCATGTTTCCATATAGGCCACTGCTTGGATGAAGAAGCCACTTTTACTCACAGTGTACGAGTGAAGTACCAGTGATTGTCAGAGAAAAGCAGAGGTTAACACTCCTGTAGTTCGCCCAGGTAAAGTATACCTTGCGATATACAGTATAAGGGCAAGTACGAGGGCAAAAACAGGACACAGACTCCATTTAGTAGTCAGGAATGACCACCATTAAATCTTGTGGCTGATATGCTTCATCTAAAATGTAGATGACCTGATCAGAATATTCTTTTATAAAACATATAGCGATTATCTTGATCTGGGAACTATAAAATATCTATTAAAACGATTAATACTCCTCTGGTTAACCTTCTGATTAAGCGACATCAATAGTAAGATACGTCCTAACATAAGACATGTGGCGTGTGTAATGTAAAAAGCAAAACTATCACCAAATCCTTTTTTTTTAAGGTGCCAAAATATTTAATACATTTTTGCAACACAAAAGAAAATGAAACACAAAATCTCTTTTACATGGGTGCCATGTTCATAAGGTAGGTGGCATTGTGATCATTTCAACCTAAGATAAGTCTCTGAAGTTTTGAAGATAAATTAATCTACAGATGTGGTGGTTAGTTCTCTTTACTTTTCAAAAACTAAAGTGACAACCTACTCCAGTTTTTCTACATTTCGACTTCGAATGACTAGTCCCAATGTGTCGATGGAGTGGCCTAATTGGGACCTTTTTCACAAAACTAGACATGAAACTGATGACCGATTAGGGTAACAAGAATAAGATAAGGCTTGTCTTTGTGTTTTCCTTTTGCGTGCCTACCCTTCAACATGACGCCCGGAAACGAATCATTGTGGGGTTTAAAGTGACGTCAGCGGTAAGAGTCTAGCGGTGACTTTTGTGCAGCTGGCATGTGATCAATTCCACACTTTTTCCAATTCCCTACAACTGATTGGGCCAGGCTGAGGTTTGCCTTTTACCAGACCGCACCTTTCCCGCGACTCTTAACAATATAAGCAATCCGGGAAAGGACTGGATTAAAAAACACACACATCCTGCATGTAAAGGAAATGTAGACTTTTCCAGTCAAACTTTGGCTAGTTTCGCTCCACCAAAAAGGGGAGCAAAAACAATTGGCTGTTTCAACACGTGCCCATTCAAAAGTTAACCTTAATTCTTTCACAATCATGTCTGTTGGTTGACATGAGTGTATCTCATCACAAAAAAAAAATAAATAAATAAAAAAAGAAATCAAAGGGGCACTCAAGGGAAGTTAAAGTGTGAACAATACAGCTCGGTAGTTCTGGCTTCGAGTCTTTTTTGGGTCTGTTCTCAGCCAGTAATCTTTACTGACAAGAAGGGAGAAAAGAAGAAATCAAATGCAAAATTCAGGGCTCGCATTGTCGTACGTCTCCAGTCTCTCTCGATTTTTACCTGCCTGCCACCAGGCAACAGTGGGGAAACACAGTCCAGACAGTTGATAGCCTTCAACTCCAAGGCCGGGGCCTTGGCTCCGAGACGGCCCTCCAGCTTGGTGCAGAATTCCACCATATTACCAGGTTCCAGATTGAGAAGGACCTGTCGGAATTCATGGCTGGCCATGAGCACAATATCCCTGCCTTGGTCATCCGCTTCTGTGCTTTTGTTCCTGATCATCCCTACGGTCACTTGGAAGCGGTAGCTGTCAAATCGCTTGACATGACAGGTGTGTTTTGCCAGAGCCTTGATCTGACACATCTCTTCCTCTTCTTGCATTCGTAGCAGCATGGGTAATGAGACCTGAACCGGTGCAGAGCTGGAAACTGTCTGGTTTGTCACATTCTTTGACTCACATTTTGGGTATCTCTCACCATAGAGGCATCGCAGCCAGTCCCCAAGAAACACTGGCAACATGTTAATGACAGACTGCGCACCATTCTCCGTCTCAGCCACGGTGACGTGCCTAAAGCGGCCCGTCCAGGTGACTCTGTGTCCCTGCAGGTGGCTACAGAAGATCTGTGTCTTGGCCATACCTTTGGATTGCCAGGCAGGAGGTCCGCACACCTGACTGTACTGGTCCCACGTCAAGGTGGAGTTGTAGACTTTCTGACCTTCTGCGTGGTACACATAGATTGAGAAGAATAGAATCACCAAGGAGATACAAAGTAAAATGAGTTTAACGGGGCCACGTTGCGTCACTGAGCGGAAAACACCCAGAATTGACGTGCTGAACCGCGTCCAGAGCCGCAGGATGACGGGGATGGCGCATACGACTAAAGTAACTATCATCTTGGTGAGCTCCAGCTCCAGGAACCACTTGAAGAGCTGGATTAAGAGCATGATGGCAAGGCCCACTGCCAGAACAGGCAGAGCAAACAGGAGGAGGAAATAGGCCACGCAGGTGCGGATTATACCCACAGCCGTGGAATTCTGGAGGAGCACCACTGAGAATTCACACCACATGAAACACACGAGGTAGGGCACCAGGATGCAGTACGTCCCCCGAAAGCCACGCTTTCTGGCCATGCTAGTCACAGAGTGAAGGAAGAAAACAAAAGAATAAAGAGCAAAAATGTATTATAATGAATCCATCGGAACATGGGATCTCAACCCTTAGTATCTAAGAAGGAAATATGAAATTCTTATTCCAACTATTTATAAGTAAAGAAGCTCCCTGTATTGCTCACCTGAAGAACAGGTAAAAAAGGTAAACATACAGCAAGCAGGGAAGACTGAGCTTCAGCACGATTGACTCCCCTAGAGGCAGAGTTGCAAAGGTGCGTCCCAAGGTGCCAAGCATTGTCATGTTTTCAGGGAGGAGCTGAGTCAGGCCACAAAGAGACGATGCCACCTGAAGTAACACACAGGTGAATATAACCACTGTAAAAACAACAACAAAAAAAAAAAAAGAGGCTGGTGTGTCAAACCCCCCAAAAAACACAAATGCGTCACAGAGACTGGGTAAAAAAGTATGGCCCGTGGACCAATGTGGCCTTGCTCCATTCTTTAACTTGGCGGACCAAGCATTTACATTATTATGAATCCTGTAATATACACATATTGACATTTTTTCCCCTCCAGATAATGGTTGAGTCGAATATATTTAATGATCGACTGATTCATTTTTTATAATTAATTTATCCTGTTCAATATTGGAAATAATAAAATCAAGAAATTGTAGTAAAATAAACAAAATCTTATATTCATTACATTTCAGTCATTTATTCTTGTTTGCTCATTAGTTAAATTGTAATGAGATTCATTCCAAATATTCTAATTCAAATTAAGATTGAATTAGGATTGGGCGATCATCCACTATTCATGTATATTGCGAGAGAAAGATGATCAACATCACTAGAAGTTGTGTATTCTTTTCTTTACTCATCTTAAACACACCTATGCATCGCTCAGTGGTGGTGGCATTTAATGTGTTGGTGGGGTTTCCTTCTTCCCACTTCTTTCTTGAGCAGTACATATTACGCTTTTGCCTTAATTATATTTGTTTATAATTATTGCTATTTAGCTTCTTCTATACATTAAATGTTATCTTTGTTTTATTCTGCTCAAAAACAACAACTAGAAAAAATAGAGGAAATGAAACGAAATCAATCGTGTGTAACCATTCTCACCTCTATGAGCATTGCTTGTCGTGCATATGTCGCAGCCACAGGACTGAGGCTCTGGTAGCTGACGGCCGTGAAGAAGATGGCCACCGTAGAGAGCTCCGAACAGGGGATCCAGCCCTTGTCAGCAACAGGGAAGGAGAATATGACGAAGAAGACGGAGAATATAAAGTAGAGGTATGGCTCGAGGTTATTCCAGCCAAAGTCGTTCTCTGCCTGCTCAATATCCAGGCCAGAATCAAAGCGGGTCAGGAGAGATGTCAGAGTTCGAAAGTTCTCCCAGGTCTGTCAAAGCAAGGAGAATTAAGAGTAAAAAGAAAGACTACTTTCGAAGAGATTAGAGATTTTTTTAAGCGACCACATTGATTTTTACAAAGAGCAGACATTCCTCCCATCATTTCCTATTCTATCTTTGTGATTGTCACACATCATTATAATCATTAACTTTTATAATGAGAAAAAACATTTAAAAAATATCAAACATAATTTGTCCAATCGTCCCTCATATGAATAATAATTTTGCAGCAACGTATCATCCGATCAGGATCCGATTCTCTTAAATACAGTAGATCAAACATTATTTTGTACCCAACATTCAAAATTTGAATAAAGCTTGACCTTTAGCCAACCACGAATGATCCTATTTTTACGAAATTCATATTCAAAAAGAACAGAACTCACCTTACTCCTCTGAAAAACACGCAGCGTGCAAATGATCATGGAGATGAAGGAGAGATAGAAGACCAACAGCGGGATGACAAAGGAAAACAAGTCAATGGTGAGGTTACTGATGATGAAGAAGAAGATAAGCGTGTTGACATGTTGCGTAGGGATGATGGTGCTCAGCCACTGGAGGCCGGCCCGCGATGCCCAGTCCACCAGGTGCTCCTTCACATCCATCACAGCATCGATTGGATAGTGCAGCATCTGATGACACCGGAGACACCACTTGAGGAAGGAATGCCAGCATCAAAATTAATGATCATTGTATAGATGATACCATCAAACGGGATTTCATATCCATTGCTTTTTTAATGGCGCCAGTCTGCTTTGCGTCCAGAACAATCCCACTTCTGCCAAAACTCCAAGACCCTCCGTGGTTCTTCTTGTCTTCTGAAGGGGGCAGCTCAGCCTTGCACGCCAAATCACAGATACGACACTTTTCACAGAGCATAGACTTTTCTGTTTTTGTGCTTCTTTTCTTTTTTATTTATATTTTTTTATTTTACCTCCGTGCCATCGGGCTTTCCTGTCTCGGATGATGAGGGAACAATCCCTTGAGCGTAATTTTTTGTCATCTCAACAAAGTCGTCCAAGTCCACCAGCTGCTTGGCTGAGGAGACAAAGTGTACTGTCATCCATAAGTGACTGCACTGTAACTATTTCTCTCTAAGGCTCAAAGCCTAGGAAACTCACTCTCACTGCTGACCATGTTTTCCAGTATTTTCTGAGTCTCGTCTGAAGTGGGGCCAGATATCTTTTTTGCGGCATCCCCTAATGTTCAGGGAAAAAAATAAAAAGTGATTTGCAAGCCTGACTTTATTCATTCTGAAGTAAGCAATCCAACCACACTGTCAGGGGAACATGGGACAACTATAGTCAGATTTTGTTTAGTGTAATACTACAACTTGCATTCATTCAACTTTTTAGACAAATGAACCTCCCTGCTACTTCACTATTGTGCTGATTGTGACGGACGCGTCTGAGTATCGGTATTGATAACAATACTGTTCTTCTACACAATATCACTACTCGTAAAATGCTGCAATAGTACAGCACCTGAAACCACTTCACCAGCTTGACATACAACGTCCAACACATTTTATTTTGTTTATGGGTATTATTATGTCTACGTAGTCAGAAAGAGCTGCGGGAAATGCAGTGATTGTAGTCAGGCTTAAATGTAAGTACCCAAAAATGGGTATCTGTACATCTCATTAACCATATCATAACACTGAACTGAATGTGTGTGGGTGGCTCATACCCAGTCCTTTGTTGACCTGGCTGACATTCTCCAGCATCTCAACCATGGCCACTTTAGACTTCTTCTCTGGATTAAGATTCCAGTACATCATCATGGCTGCTTTACGCACCGCCCTCTCAAACTTACTCTCTGCCGACAGTTTCCGAACATCTTCCTGATTCTCTGCAGTGATTCCTGGGTGAGGATGCCAGAACCAAAAAGATCAGCAATGCACATCCCTGCCCTGCCCCCACACCCCACGCACACATATGTATTGGCACAATAACCTATTTTACGGATCCAACAGCGCTGCAAGGCTCTTGCTGCGCTCTTTCTTCCCTGTTTTGCAGCTTTTATCAACCAATTTACAGCCAGACGATTGTTTAGATCTCTATCCTCCTCTTCGGCAAGAATCAAGTAGTGCTGACCCAGCTGATGGACAGAAGAGATGTAAAGAAGATTAATTCACTGTGTGTACTGTGGCCTAACCTAAATACAAAAAATAAGTAGATCGTGACAGTAAGAGCTATAGCTCAGTTTTATACAAAAATTAAGATAACAAATCAAATCTCATTATGATTTTGATAAAAATTAGGTTAGTTGTGATCCAACACTAAAATACAATACAAATAGAACATTTCTCTTCATTTTCGTTTCAGAG